CTATTTAGGAAGGATGGTAAGATTTTTACTATTTGTCCTCAGTGCATCTTTTCCATACATTATTTTTGAAGCTAAACTTCATTGCTAAGTATGTTACCACACGATGTTCTTCAACAGGGACTCCCGATGAATGTTGTGCCTTATGGGATCGAGACTAAAGGTACCATGAGTATTATTAGCTTACGGCCAAGATATCCTACAGATTACACTAGTGCATTCAAGATTAGCGACGGATGCTTAATAGTGCAAGACTAGACCAAATATGTGATGGAGGAGTGCAGACAAGTACTAGGGGGCAGCAAGCAGAAGCGCAGCCCATGATTAGGAGACAGGTTCATCTGCATGCTCCAACTTGATCAACGAGGAGAGCTACACATGTTTTATGTTATTTTACCTGAGAGAGAGCAGCAGGAGTGATTAGCTAGCTAGAAATGAGTTTGAACATGATGATGTGCTACACTATTACTATGATGATAAAATAGCTAGTGTTGGTGGTAATGACTATTTAATGACTATGATGATTATTATTAGCTAGTGTTAGTGGTGATTAAATAAATACTGTTGGTGGTAATGACTATGATGATGATTAAATAGCTTGTGCTGGCGGATTAGATTCAAGTGGAGGCAACATGTGGTGCACATCGAAAGTACTACTAGTCCAAACTAGATCAAGTTTGGATTAGTAGTATACTTTTGACATGCACCACATATTGCCTCCACTTGAACCTAATCCACCTTCATTTGACACACTGTTATGGACATAATGATGTAAACCTCATAACTGGTATTGTACCAATATTTGTACGAAGGCGCATAAATACACTAAAAAAATACTAGTAGCGATGGAGAGAAAACACGTTGCCACTAGTTACATTAGCAGTAGCGTGGGAGTGAACAAACGTTGCAGCTATTTGTCCTAGCAGTAGTGCGTGCGGGCATGTGTTACTTCTAAGCAATAGCTGTAGCGCCTTATTAGTAGCGCGCCTACCCGCGCTACTAGTGAGCACAAAACCAGCGCTACTGCTAGGGTTTTCCCTAGTAGTGTATACCAGCAGAAACTCAATACTTGACCGACTGCGTCACAGTACTCAGGTAAAGTGGCAGTGGTTGAAAGCGAGCGGAAACGTCAGTGTTTTCTATGCATTACGATAGTAGTGGTGAAAGAAAATCCAATTCAAATATCTCAACGTAAAAGGAAAATCGTTTCACTTTTAAAGGAAAGCTAGCTATATGAGATCGAAATCACTCTATCTATGATATTCATTGCACCATGATTGAAGGACAATGAGGGGCAGGTTATATTCCCTTTCTTCTGGTCGATTGAGGAATTGTTGATAATGACACCATGTCTGTGGCATCTACTGCTATTGCAAGGCCCGAAGCACGTGGGAGAATGTTAGTTTTCTGGATCGGATTAGCAAAATCAAGCAAGCATGTGATGTGCCGGGGAAGCCTAAAAGAAGCCTTTGGGAGGCAGTGTGGTGATACATGTTTGGCGCGTGGGAATTAACTAATCTAATGACATATTGGTAACTGCCTGTGGGTCTGCACACCACTCCTTATGTTCATCTAAAAAGCCTTCCGGGTCGAAATTGTTAATAAATGATCAAAGATTAGAATGCCAATGTGTTAGAATGTCAATGGGAGCTTTCACAAAGCCAAGTCACAAATACAATGAAGAAGTGCTACTACCAACAGATGCAACCACGGATCCCGGTTCAGAAGATTCTGAGAAAGGTGAGTTAGTTATCACATGAGAGCCATAAGAGCTCTCCAGGAGAGTGATCACCTGGTGTGACTGATCCAATTTATAGTCGCATTCAAGGCTCCACATGGGTGGTAAATTCCAAATAATATTTGGATATCTCGAAGAGAACCCCAATAGAACCATTTAGATACTTCGATGAGAACCAATAGAACCATAATGGTGAGAGGCTACGCGTCGACGCCAGGTCAATTTATAGTTCTAGTCTACTAGCCCTAATTCATAGTCGCATGTATTACACTTTTACAAGACGAAAGCGATAGTGGTTAGAACGCGCTAGACTTGCTGATGCTATAGATTTGCTCCATCTAGAGTCACCCAAAAGGACTTTATCTGTTGAATGATTGGTTTTATCCTCGAAGTATTTCTAGCCCGCCCGTGCCAAACTAGTCTTCTTTCAAAGATATGGATCCAATAAAAGTGTATGTCCAATTAACAATTAACCACAAATAAGGGTTTTAGGAGAGTCATTATCTCCCTATAGGCACACCGGTGGAAGAAACTCCTAAAGCAGGGAAGCACGATCTTGTTGCTTCTTTTGTTCTTGTGGATCCACGCCTGTGGTTAGCGAGGCTACAGAACACAATAACATAGCATTGATAACCAGAGAGATCTGCGGGCCTATTACCAGTTTTGGCATGTTAGTAGTTTTGGTCATAATGTTAGCTATTTTAGGCCTATCAAATTCAATGAACATGTTTTGCATGGAGTCGATAAAGACAGTGATATGATTGCCGCTTAATAATAATGAGTCAGTACCAAAGAGTACGAGGATAGCCCAAGCCTTCCACAAGTTCCTCACTAAACAGTGTCTCGTCTATGCTTCATTTTATATGTTTTTATAAATAAAAAGGCCACGATAGACCATCTGATGCTAGCTCTTGAAATCATTGCCCAGAGAGGGAAATGGATACAACAAGTCTCCCCTCATCTACCAGAACGTTTTGGAGTTATCTTCGCTCCCACGCATGGCTAGACAACTGAAAAACAGCCTAGCAAAGATGACTTCTCTTGGGCAACGCAAGGACAAGTAGCTCTGGTTACGAAACACAACACAAGTTGGAATAACCCAAGTCAATATGATTACTCGATCATCTAGGGCTTGCCTGTGTCAGCTTCTTTCTTTGGATCAATGAGGACTTTGGCACCCTTGATCTGATCGATATGAATGAAAGATACATCCATCTTTTCTTCTCCTTCGAAGGTTAGGTATCCGCTTGTTTGTTTAGCGCCGCATAAATACTGACTTTAAAAGGGGTGACTCCTGCCTGTGCTTAAGTTGTTTCAAGCTTGTAAAGACTCGCGATCAGAAGATTGACCTGGTTTTCTTTCAGCTGAAACTCTACCTAATGGTTCAGATTCCCCGGGTACATGGTTCCATGGCCGCTTAGCTTAGACACCCTTGTTAGAGACATGAATGCGGGGTTCGGTTTCCAATTGATTTGTATTCACCAGGACCTCCCCTTATTGGATTTTCTCCACTTTTCTAGTTGATGTGAAAAGAATGTTGAGCAAATGAGTTTAAGGGGTGGTTTTCTGTTTACTTTGAATCAGCCTACGACGTCTCTCTTCCAGAACCTCACAATCATTAGTGTCTGAAGTTTCATGATGAATATTGGTTTCACATTTTATTGCTTACCTGAGTAAATATCAATTTGGAACTCGAATTTGTTTTTGAGTTATGATGAGGAGTGAGGTAGATTCGCATTGTTGAAGAAAGCGAAGAAAAAGGATGTTGTTATGGCTTGCTTGTGGCTCTTTCTTCTATTGGCTAGTCTCAGGCATGATAGTTTCAATTTCTTTTGGAAAGCAAGTGCGGCTCAGTCATAAGTGTTAGTAATAGCATGAAGTAAGTTGTCGGTAGCCGGCATTAGGCAAAAGGAAAAGCTTCTCAAAAGCATCCAAAAATATCATAGAATGGTGATCGAGATCACCTTCATGGGAATCATCCTTTGCAAATTGGGGGAAGGGAACCAATCAAGTCACCAGGAAGTTCCCGAAACTTGGTTTAGTATTAAGGTTCTTCTCTCCCAGCGTTTAGTATTCAAGTTCTTCTCTTCCAGCCCCGTTGCCCCTCTCTCATAAGTCAAGTTTTCAAAACGAAAAGCAAATGAAAAATTTGGTTCGATGGCTCTGCTCCACTACCCGCTTTACTACTTTCTATTTTTTCTTATGTATTAAGTTTCCCTCAATATATAATTTGATATTACTTTCGATTTGTATATTTTTATTCCTTTGTCGTTTTATATTATGCCTAATACCAATTTTCAATCTTTTTAGTTCGTGCTTCTCGGCTCCTCCTTTCTGATCACTCTCCAGCCGGAGATTCAAGACCCCTAGGCTCTAGCTCATTTAGCAGGGCTAAACTTCTATCTGAGTCTTTACAAGCAGGATCCGAGATGGGTTACATTCATTCAGAACGAGCTTAATCACAATACCCCCCAGAAGACATACCTGGGCGGCTTAAGCTCTTCCTAATGGAAGAAAAGCTCTCTTCTATGCGACAAGATGTCATTCAGGAATTTGTGGCGCTTTATCAAAGAGTAGCGCCTTATCTACTGATCGAGCCCTACTTGGTCGATGAAGTGCTTCGTTCCTATCTGGACCATATTCACGCAACTTATTCTTTCACTGTTCTCTAAGCGTCTTATCAAGATCTGCGGGAGAATGAGGGAGGATCCGTTTTCTTTCGAAATGTTGTTTCCCACAACCGGGATCTCCTTGAGGCGGAAAGCTCCGCAAGGAGGTGCCTGGAAGTGGAACAGAGGATCCAGTGGGAAGAAATCCCCAAGAGCAAGGCAAGTCTTGAAAGAGCTAAGCACGAGCATGCTCTCGACTTGTTTAAGTCAGAGAATCTTAGAAGGGAATTAGAAAAAAAAAAGCAGGGTAGCTCAGTAATTCTGATTCTTTTCTCTTCCAGCCCCCTGGCCCCTCTTTCTTTTCTCTTCCAGCCCCCGGGCGGGCCCCTCTTTCTTTTCTCTTACAGCCCCCCGGTCCCTCTTCGATAAGGAAAGTTTTCATTTCTAAAATTAAAAATGACAAATATGGTTCAATGCCTCTTCTCTACTAACCACAAGGATATTGAGACTCTTTATTTCATCTTCGATGCCATTGCAGGAGTGATGGGAACATGCTTCTCCGTACTGATTCGTATGGAATTAGCCCGACCCGGCGATCAAATTCTTGGTGGGAATCATCAACTTTATAATGTTTTAATAACAGCTCACGCTTTTTAATGATCTTTTTTATGGTTATGCCGGCGATGATAGGTGGATTTGGTAATTGGTTTGTTCCGATTTTGATAGGTGCACCTGACATGGTATTTCCACGATTAAATAATATATCATTCTGGTTGTTGCCACCAAGTCTCTTGCTCCTATTAAGCTCAGCATTAGTAGAAGTGGGCAGCGGCATTGGGTGGACAGTCTATCCGCCCTTAAGTGGTATTACCAGCCATTCTGGAGGAGCAGTTGATTTAGCAATTTTTAGTCTTCATCTATCATGTATTTCATCAATTTTAGGTTCTATCAATTTTATAACAACTATCTTCAACATGCATGGACCTGGAATGACTATGCATAGATTACCACTTTTTGTGTGGTCCGTTCTAGTGACAGCATTCCTACTTTTATTATCACTTCCGGTACTGGCGGAGGGCAATTACAATGTTATTAACCGATCGAAACTTTAATACAACCTTTTTTGATCCTGCGGGAGGGGGAGACCCAATATTATACCAGCATCTCTTTTGGTTCTTTGGTCATCCAGAGGTGTATATTCTCATTCTGCCTGGATTTGGTATTATTAGTCATATCGTATCGACCTTTTCAAGAAAACTGGTCTTCGGGTATCTAGCATGGTTTATGCCATGATAAGTATAGGTGTTCTTGGATTGCTAGTTTGGGCTCATCATATGTTTACTGTGGGCTTAGACGTTGATACGCGTGTCTACTTCACCGCAGCTACCATGATCATAGTTGTGCCCACAGGAATCAAAATCTTTAGTTGGATCGCTACCATGTGGGGAGGTTCGATACAATACAAAACACCCATGTTATTTGCTGTAGGGTTCATCTTTTTGTCCACCATAGGAGGGCTCACTGGAATAGTTCTAGCAAACTCTGGGCTAGACATTGCTCTACATGATACTTATTATGTGGTTGCACATTTCCATTATGTACTTTCTATGGGAGCCGTTTTTGCTTTATTTGCTGGATTTTACTATTGGGTGGGGAAAATCTTTGGTCTGACATATCCTGAAACTTTAGGCCAAATCCATTTTTGGATCATTTTTTTCGGGCTTAATCTGGCCTTCTTTCCCATGCATTTCTTAGGGCTTTCGGGTATGCCACGCCGCATTCCAGATTATCCAGATGCTTATGCCGGATGGAATGCTCTGAGCAGTTTCGGTTCTTATATATCCGTAGTTGGGATTCGTCGTTTCTTTGTAGTTGTCGTAATCACTTCAAGCAGTGGAAACAATTCTCTATGAAGTCCAATGACGGCCAATCTATCTCGTAGAGCACATGACTCTCGTCTCTCCACTTTCGTAACAATTGTATGTATAAAACATGTTCGTATTGCCGTCTTCCTCTATCACTTGCTCCATTTTCTTGCCGTCGTTTTAGAGCGGAAAGAGGAAGAGAGCAAGCTAGAATTCAGAGGAGGAAGCGAGCGAGGCTGAGATTTAGGTTCAGATTTATTGCTTACGAACCTAATGTTCGGTAGTTATCAAGTTCCGTTTCTAATATATTGGCCCTTTTTATATACATTGATCATTATATAATACTCAGAAATAGTATCTAGCCTTTCTATTGTTTTTCTCTCTAAAATGATGATTGGGCTATATAACGTGCAGCTGCAGTGCATGAAAGTGTAAAAACCGCCGTGATGTTGCACAACGTGTTTGGTACCGAAAGTAAGTGGTACAAATATATGTTCGCGTTTAGACGCCAAAACATAGCTCATGTTATAGAATGATAAAAGATACTGACAAAATAAGAAAGCAGGCTGGCACCAGGCTTTCTCTTCCGGTCAATCCAACATAATCAGCAATGATTCATCCATAAATATATAACTAAAGCATGCGCTCATGTTTCCCATCTTATTGTACCTCATGGCTTCTAGCTGATAGGTGAAATAGGTATGACGGCCAATCTAACTCGTAAAGCACATGACTCTGGTCTCTCCACTTTTCGTAACCAACGTATGAATAAAACATGCTCATATTGCCGTCTTCCTCTATCACATGCTCCATTTTCTTGCTCACGAGGTTAAGAGCGAATATGCTAGGACACTCTTTTTGCAGCATGAATATCACACATGAGCTCTCTGCGAAGTACAAGATCTCAATTCCCTTGACCTCTAGGGGCATCAACTCGGAGTGCACCCATCCTTCCTTACCCTCCCAACTATGATCATTGTCTTGTTCTCGCTTGGTCCAAAGTTCAAGGATATCTTTGTCTCTGACATTAACAAATGAGAGCTTTCCTTCCCCAAGGATGCATGGGAACGGTGGTGACAAGCCACGTTTGACTTGAATAGGGATCTTGGTTAAGGAGACATGTGTTGCATCAGCGCTTATGTTGAGGGTGCAGAAGTTGGTATTGTCTCTGTACAACCAGTGCACGATGTCACTGTTCACCATGCCAGCGCGTGGCCCACACCTGGTGAGGCCGAAAGTTTGGAAGCACTTGATAGGTGCACTCCAACTATCCATGGCGGAGGAGTAGGAGAAGACGTACACAAGTTTGTCATCATAGCATTCAATGGTGAAGTGCACTTGGAAGGTTGGCTGCACGTGGTTTGATGCCGTGACAATGGCATAGCCGGTCATATAATACCCGACGTTGATGGGGTCCAGATCCTGCGGAGGCGGTGCGAGAAGACGTGTGCTCCGCTCGCCGATGAGGGGATGGCACACAGCTAGATGGAGCTTCTGCCAGTCATGGGTCAAGCGTTCCACTAGGAGAAGGCCGCGATGCGCCGCCAGGGGCCGCGCGTAGTTGAAGATTCCGTTCTTGTTGGGGATGAACTTGGTGAAGGTGAGACGCTCGCCACGGGTTTGCTCCGTAGAAAGCTTGAAGAATCGCGGTGGCAAGTGGGATTTCCTTCTCTTGCCCAGTTTCGGTATTTTAATGGGTGTCGCTTCCGGTATGTAGAAGGCACCAAGGAGGAAGGAGGACCTGTGGCACGCGTTCTCCGACGAGATGCCGACGCGCCGGAGGAAGGCCGGGCAGCTGATGAGGCGGAACCACCGTGTGCATGTCCCCGCGCAGCGGATGAGGTCGAGAACGCCCCACGCCACGCGTGCGAAGATCTCGCGCATGAGATCGTCCGAGAGCACGCCGGCGGCGTCCACCGCTCGTCTCTTGCTCTTGGCCATGGATCTTCACCACGGTGGCTAGGTCTCGATGGATCTGTGACTAGACGCGATCTCTATTTATCAAGCAGACGTGCAGAGGCCGGCGCGGGACATTGCGCCGGTAGTAGAGCCCAATAAGCTATTCTGCAGATTATTATAAGGAAGTAGAACAACAAATTTGGTATACGTCTATGCTTGCCTTGTTGTTTCCCTAAAAAAAAGGACTCATACTTGCCTTGTGGGAGTCGGACGGAGCACTCGCCCAAGTAGTTACCCAAGCTAGATTTTTTTATTTTTTATTTTTTTTCGGGAGATCCAAGCTAGATTGATGCCTCAAAAAAAAATCCAAGCTAGATTGTGCGGCGACTATCAAACATCTCACGTAGCGACTGAAACACGTTCACGTTTAAGTCGTACGAGATGGATGTTTATACCATCACTAAATTTGAATCATTACCGATATATGAAATCTAACATATTGTTGCTTATTGTTACCTTTATATAAAATCTCATATTATTGATTCAAATTGTTATCGCCTTTCCTACATAAATGCTACTCAGAAAATGAACAATAAATTCTTGTGGCAATGCGTAGGGTATCATCTAGTTTAAACCATGATTGGCTATCAAAGTGTGTGAAAGAAGTGGCATGTTGTTACACAATTTGTTCGTTGATTACCGAAAGTTGGTGATAGAAAAACTGTCATTTGTGTTATAGTAGCTCACCATTATTGAATGGCAAAAAGTATTGACAAAATAACAAAACTACCATGAAATAGTTTTACACTATATTTTGTTTTCTGATAGAACACCATCAACAACCATTTATTCATTAATACACAATAATATCATGTGTTCAACTCTCTCATCCTATTTCTATTGCATGTCTTAGCTTCCAGCTGAGAGGTGAAATAGGTATGACGGCCAATCAATCTCGTAGAGCACATGATTCTTGCATCTCCACATTTCAACACCGTTATATGAATGGAACATGGCCATATTACGGTTTTCCCTTTTCACCGGCTGTATTTTCTTGCTCACGAGGTCAAGACTGAATATGGTAGGACACTCTTTTTGCACCATGAGTATAACACATGATCTCTCTGCGAAGGACAAGATTTCAATTCCCTTGATCTCTAGGGGCATCAACTCGGACTGTACCCATCCTTCCTTTCCCTCAGCGCTATGATCATTGTCTTGTTCTCGCTCTGTCCAAAGTTCTAGGACATCTTCGGCGCTTGTATTAAGAAATGAGAGCTTTCCTTCCCCGACGACGCACGGGAACGGTGACAAGCCACTTTTCAATTGGATAGGGATCTCGGTTAAGGAGACGTGTGTTGCGTCAGCGGACATGTTGAGGGTGTAGAAGTTTGTATTATTTGTGTACAACGAATGCACGATGCCGCCGCTGACCACACCAGCTAGCGGCCCAGACCTAGTGAGGCCGAAAGTTTGGGAGCACTTGATAGGTGCACTCCAACTATCCATGGCGGAGGAGTAAGAGAAGGCGTACGTCCGTTTTTTCTCAAAGCATATAGTGGTGAAAAGCACCTGGAACAGTGGCTGCCTGCGGTGGTCCAGATCACCAGTGGCTGCCTGCGGTGGTCCAGATCACCGGTGGCGTGGTGGTCTGTCGCCGTAATAAGGGCATAGCCGGTCATATCATACCAAACGCCTATGGTGTCCGAATCCTGCGGAGGCGGTGGGAGGAGAGGCGTGCTCCGAGCTCCCAACAAAGGGTGGCACACGGCCAGATGGATCTTCTCCCAGCCATGGGGCATGCGGCGGCGCACGAGGAAAAGGCTGCGACGCGACACCAGGGACGTCGCATAGTTGAAGGTTCCATCATTGTTATGGATGAACGAGGTGAAGGTGAGACGCTTGCCACCAGTGGCGGAGCCACCCTGGGATTTTGGGCTAGCCTTTATACTTATGCATTAGAGATGGGACACAGAGAAGAAAGAAGCCCAGTAAGGCTTGGCCGATTGAACAGATCGAGAGCAGCCGCCGTGCTCTGCTTCTCGTCTACATCGCGTCCTTGCGACGGCCTCCCTCGCGGTCACTGCTCCTCCTCCCGTCCTTGCTCCTGGCTCCTGCGGTCCTGCATCTCTGGATCTCCGTCCATCCAACCCGGCGCCTGGCATGCATCCGTGGATTTCGGCCCTGCCCCGGCCAGTCGGCCGCCCACCGCCCACCGCCCCTACAAGGCTGCAAGCGGACGCCCACCACCCAGAGTCCCAGACGCCCAGTCCCCCACTGCGGCTCTCCCGATGGTCACTCGATTCGGGGTGCCAGCTTGGAGGTCGCCCACTGCCCATTCCCCAATTTTAATTTACCGTTTGTTCTTGTTTTGCTATCCACATACAAATAATTTTGCACATCATTTTTGTTCAATTATGTCATTATGATTGATAGAATTGCAGAACTATTGAAGAATTGCTATCCACATACCAATGGTTCGACTTGAAGATGTCTCACCACCATCAACTGTTTGAACTTAAGGTATGTAGAATATACTATATAGACTTCTTTATGCAAAACTGAGCTTTAATTGGGAATTTTAGTGTGTTTATAAGACCATATTGATCTATTTCTATGTGATAGTTGTAATTAGTTGGAATGTTCGCATGTCAAATTTGTTGTCAATTTTTTTGAGGCAGACCACCCTATTGTCAGCTGTGCCACCGATCTGCTGCGTACAGAGCCTGAAGAATCCCGGAGGCGAGTTGGATTTTCCTTTTCCCGTGCGCGTTCAGGTGCACCACGGGTATTGCTTCCAGCCCGAAGAAGGCGCCAATGAGGATGGAGGACCGGTGGCACGCCGACGCGCCGGAGGAAAGCCGGGCGGCTGATGAGCCGGAACCAATGCACGCACGTGCCGGCGCAGCGGATGAGGTCGAGGAAGCCCGGCGCCACGCGCGCAAAGATCTCGCGCAGGAGGTCATCGGGGAGCACGTCGGCGGCATCCACCGCACGTCGCTTGGCGATCGATCTTGGTTGCATGGCTGCGCTGGACGGCTAGCTAGGTCTCGATGGATTTTTTTTTTAGGTGAAAGGTCTCGATGGATATGTGGCCATGTGCTTCGCTCGACGCGATCTCTATGAACGACGAGGCAGACTTTTTTTTTTTTTTGAGTAACAGAACGATGAGGCAGACGTGCAGAGGCGTAGGACATCGGCCGGTAGTAGAGCCCAATAAGCTAATCGAAGATTAAGCTACAGAAGATTGGGCACGGGGGGGCATATATCTCGAGTCAGGCGCGGTGCGAGCAGGCCTGTCTACTGTAGCACCGTGTGCATGTTTTTTCTTCCATTTTCTTTGTATCGTTTATTTTCCTGTTTTATGCCGGTTTTTCATGTGTCGGTATTCTTTGTATGGTTTTCACTTTTTTGGTCGAGTTTTCTTGTTTTTTTCTTTTTCTTAGGTTTTTTCCCTGGCTTCACCGTTCTTCATTTTTTTTCTTTTTTTGTTACACCTTGGTTTTCTTTGTTTTTTCACCAGTTTTGTCTGGTTTTTATTTTCCTTCTTTATTACTCCCTCCGTCCCAAAATATTATAACGTTTTTTATATTAGTGTAGTGTCAAAAATGTTCTTATATTATGGGATGGAGGAAGTATATGTCAGTTTTCTTTTCTTTTCTTTTTTTTGCGAGAATTTTTTTGATCTATTCATCTTCAATCATGACAGTACAACGAATACCAGAAATAATAGAAATCGTATTCAGATCCGTAGACCACCTAGCAACAACTACCAGCACTGAAGCGAGCCGAAGGCGCGCCGCCGTCATCGCCCCTCCATCACCGGAGTCGGGCACAACTTGTTGTAGTAGACAGTAGGGAAGTCGTCGTGCTAAGGCCCCGTAGGACCAGCGCACCAGAACAGCAACCACCGCAGATGAAGAATAAAGTAGATCAGAAAAATCCAATCCAAAGACACACGAACGTAGGCGAACAACGATGAGATCCGAGCAAATCCACCAAAGATAGATCCGCCGGAGACACACCTCCACACGCCCACCAACGATGCTAGACGCATCGCCGGAACGGGGGCTAGGCGGGGAGACCTTTATTCCATCTTCAGGGAGCAGCCGCCATCTCGTCTTCCTGAGCAGGACACAAACCCTAGCAAAACCGAAAGAAACGATTAAAATTGGAGCCCTCCCGCCGACCCTCGCCGAGGTCCACTGCCCCCCCATGGCCCTAAGGCCATCGGAGAGGAGACGGACCTGCAGCGGCGGCGACGGGAGGCAAAAACCCTAGCTTTTTTAGTGTGTGTGGTTAACCATCAGTTTTCTTTTCTTTTCTCTTAATTTTTCTTTGGTTCTTCGTCTTTGGATATGTGGTCATGTGCTTCAGGTTTAACTAGTTCTCTTTTTTAACACAACACAACTTGTTTATTGTTTTATACATTTTTGTGTACACGTCAAACATTATTTTGATACATGTTCAACATTTTCCAAATGCACAGAATAAAATGTTTTCTTTTCATAACTGTTTTGAACACTTTTCTGAATACACGGTCAACATTATTTTTTAGATACACGTTCAAACATTTTTAATGATAATATAAATTTTGATAAAACTAAGTAAACAATTTTTTACATTATATAAACATTTATTTTGAATATCACAAATATTTAATTTTAGTTGTATGCAAAAAGTTTTAAAAATTGTATACACATTTAAAAAAAGTCCACATGCATGTTTTTGAAACTTAGAAATATGTTTCATTATCATGAACTTTTTTTTTAAGTTATCAAGTGTTGTTTGGATGCAGGGCGGCGGCGGAGACTCTGGAAGATCTGTCGTGCGTAGTACCTGCCAGCCAGGCATGACTCAGCGTAGCACCTGTCGGCTAGGCATGACTTGACAGCTCCACCTAAACTCTGTGCAAGACGATGCTCCCAAGAGAGAAACGACACCGTAGTGCCGCCATTGTCCGATCTGGAAGACCAGATCCTAGGGTTTCCCCCGAAGTAGCACGCGTGGGTCGACAGCAGTTACACGACGATGCCTTCATC